TTGAATTGACTTTGTTCGTCACCTTTTGTGTTAATTTTCGTTATTACGCGTTCTTTTTCTCGTTCCGTGTTTCCTGCGATATTTTCATATAATCATCAACTTTCTATTCTTGTGTGAGTTCACATAGAATAGAAAGTTGTGGATATCAAATCCCAAGGATCACGAGTATTAGTATGTCCTAGTACGAGTTCGTGAGGAGAATATTTCGTTACAGAACTTCTAGTACTATTATATGCTATTATTGCATACGGCATCAATTCATTAATTGGTTTATTAGGGTCTTTAGTTCGCAATAATCGTATAAGTGTTCTATTATAGTAGAATGAAATCTCTCAATTGGTGAGTTTGATTCATGATGTCCAGGAATTGTAATGTGTATATTTATCTTTTGAGCTTTTAGTAATTCTTTAAGAAGTTCGTTATTAAACTGGGTTTCGTTATCAGTAACAATTGATTTAGGGCATCCTACAAAGGAGAAAAACTGGACTTATTTGTCGCAAACTGATTTAGCATTTTTATCATAGGGAAATGCTTTGGCATATTTAGAGAATTTGCCAATTATTGTTAAGAATTTCTGTTTTTCGAAGATAAATGTATCCATGTGTAAGATTTGGAAGAGTTTCGATGGTGATTCTGTCCTGACAAGTGCGATATACGTTTTTAATCGTGAATACTTTTGAGTTTGACAGATAACACAATCGTTGATATATTTTGGCCAATAAGAATTGGATTTTATTCGATCAAGTGTTACTGTTATTTCTCGATGATTTGTCTTTGATTCGTGCTGATGTTTGATCAATAACAACCGTTCTTCAATTTCTTTCACATTATTGACAGTTTCGTGCATCTTATGATTTTAGGTTCCTTAAAATGGTTGCTGTATACAGGGTACTCCAACAAGCGCGCCTCGGTCAATAGTAGCCAAACCGTTGAACTTATGGAAGAATGTTCTGTATAAAAGTTTTGGCCTTTCATCTCTGCCATAACCCAAAATTATTTTCAAATATACAGGGTGTCTCAAAATAGAGTAATCACAAATTTTATGTTTTTTTTTTTTTAAATGGAATACCGTATGTTTTTATGTGGCAAATGAAGCCTCTATGTGCTCTGTATTCAACTTTAAAATCGTATTTGGGTTGAATGCAGCATTGCCAAGTTATGATTTTTCGAACGAAAAAATGGACCAAAACTTACTTTTTTAAAATTGTCATATCTTCGCCACTGGTATATTAATTTCCTTGGAAAATTTACATGTAATCTAAAGATTTTCCATTTAATTTTTTTATCGCAAGTAAAACGGCTCCGAACATCACTGAAAATGGAAAAAAAATGTAATTTGCGTGGGCGGGGGGGAACTCGCTGCCTACTCCGTTTGAATTCCCGCCGATTTTTTCCATTTTCAGTCATGTTTGAAGCCGTTTTACTTGCGATAAAAAAATTAAATGGAAAATCTGAGATAGAGGATCGATAGTTTGGCATTTCGACTTATCAGTGGAGTTTTCAAAATAAATACAAAAAAATTGTCCTCAATTCGACAGACTGCTTTATAAACATCCCCATTTTGCTTGACAAGGGTATTATGCCGAAACGACCCATCGGACCGGGCCCAAAGGACCCCGCACACCTCATGGGTTTTTGGTTTTCTGTCAAACTCAATGAAATTTTGATATGTTAGACCTTGACTTCCTGATAAAAAGTTCTCATGGGCCCGAACCAATCCTATGATTAGTTTTTGAGATACAGGTACTTTTATGTCCAAGAAATGTATACATTTTATATGTATTCACAATCTACCTGTCACCTAATAATAGGTCTATTTCTGCAAAAATCACAAACTTGTCAGAGCGAATTTGATTGGTCGAAAACAGTCAGAAACAGTCAGAAAACTAGTTACAACCAATGAAATTCACTCTGACAGACCTAATAATAGGTGACAGGTAGATGTGAATGCATATAAAATGTGTACATTTCTTGAACATTAAACCACCTGTATTTCGGAAACTAATCATAGGCTGGGTTCCGTTGTCAACCTTGGTTACGATTACACGTTCCGTAATGTCTGGTTCCTGAAAAACCGGTCTATACGGAACGCGGTTGGTTATGTCAAACATGTCACCAAGGCAACCGGCGGCGATTCTGCTATTGGAAAAGCGTTCCGTATGAAACCGAAATTTTCAGCAACCGCTTGTCAATCGTTGTCAACCGCTGTCAACCGAGGTTGTACCGACCGGTTGACCAGGTTAGACAACGGAACCCACCCATAGTATCGGGTTGGGCCCATGAGAACTTTTTATCAGTAAGTCAAGATATACCACTTATCAAAATTTCATTGAGTTTGACAGAAAACCAAAAACCCATAAGATGTGTGCGGGGTCCTTTGGGCTCAATAAAGCCTGCCTCATCTACTATGTATGTGTAAAAAATTAATTGTCTAGCATGAAAATTAAAAAAGTTAGGAATTTTTTACGAAAATCTTTTTTTTGGGGGGAAAAAATCATTTCTCGAAGACTAAAAGACCCACAGGGTTGTATGATGGCTCATTTTAAAGCTTGTTCAATGCTCTAAACTTATTGCCAGAGTAGCAAAACCATCCGATCATAAGTTGTCGAAATACAGTGAAATAAACAAAAAATAAAATCAATTTTCACTGGGTTTGAACTCAAATTCAATGCTGTCGTATAAGCGAAATAATTTTCAATTTTTATTAAAGACTCTGGTCTGGTATCTCAACGGTTCCTTCTTGTGCATAATTTTTTATACCATATCCATTTTCAAGACTTACTGGTACTTTAATCTGTGTAATCATACGCGGCGGTATGACATAGGTCACGTTCGTTTCAATGTTTTCAGGACAAGAGGTTTGTATCCCGTTAGTTTAAGAACTGGGAAGCAAAGTTAATTCTGCAGTTGGATTGTGAAATGATACTGCTTGTGCGGTTTGCACTTGGAATAATTCATTCTTTATACAATCTGCAAAATAGTGGTAGGCAATATTTGAATTGATAAAACTGCGTGTACTACCAGTATCGATTAAGAATTTAGAATCAATTTCTGGGATATAAATATGTGGTAATTCTATGGATTGGTTGTTCAAATATACTATTCCGGTTTCTTGGGTTGAAAAGTTGGGAGAAAATTCAGCTCTTGTTGAGTTTGATTTTGAGCTGAAAGTTCATTGTTTTGTTCGTAAGGAACTTCATTATATTGATAATAGGGATAATATTGATCTTGTTCTTGCAAAGAATATTCTTCATCAAAATAGTAATTATAGGGGTCATTGGAATATTGGTCATAGCATGATTCATCAAAATAATTGTTTTGATCAATTAGTGCTTGTGTTGTCGAATCCATCGATTGGGATTTATTTGGGGTTGGTTCTAAATCAGATGTTTCCTGATTATATAGCTCTTGAAAAGTGAACCGGGTTCTATTATTGGCACTGTTAATCACCGTATTTCCTGAACTACTGTCCATTGGTGATCATGATATGCGCTCGATCCGTGAAGTGGTAATCAATTCTTTTTGTTTTGTGGTTCTCACGGCCTTATTTTCATTAAAGCCGTTTTTCGATTCGTCGCTTCCGCAAATCCTTAAAAGGAACCACTCGTACTTGTCGGCACTAATGTCGCGGGACAATCCTACCGACTGCGCCGATTATGTTATGGAACCACAAAAACGACTTTTTTAAAAACAAACTTTTATTTTTAAAAAGAAACTTTTATTTTTTGGACCGACCTTATGCGTACGGTTATACAGATGAAAAACTGGCTTGAAAATAGCAAGTAGTTCATTTTATAAAATAATTAAGCAAATGCAGCAGATTAATATAATAAGCTAAGCAATTCTGAGCACGTAACTCTAATTTGAAGGATGAATAGCAGTGGTCACAGGTCATAGCACAGCATGTGGTACTCCACCCCATTAACTTCGACACAGAACTATCTCTTTGTTAAAAAGTTCTGTATTCAATGGAAGCAAATATCCAGTTAAGTTCTCCAAAATTTTGTAGAGGGCGCGAGTGAACTTGGAGTGCTTCAAATTTTGGCGGTAAATGTCAATAGTTTTAATCCGGCTAAATTGAGTAGTAAGAAAGATGACTACAATATGAACAATGAACAATGAATAAGTTAAAATATCTTCCAAAGCATTCAGTGGCCCTAGAAAATATTTTTAAAAGGGTCAGCGTCAGCTTGTCTTGAAACCACACATCAGACTTAACTTTTGGGGTTAAAATTACGATCAATTATTTACGCGCCAAAATTTAAATAGCTCTAAGTACAGAAGCGCCCTCTTCAACTCAACTTTCAATATTACATGCCATTGAGTAAATTTCTGCTAAATCCCAGCTGTTCCAATTTTGAAAGTAGGCTCTAATTCGGTACTTTATCAAATGCCCTTGCATAGTCCAGGTATAGGACTTCTTCTTTTAATGCGTCTCTTATCGGAGGTTTGCTATCATTACAGCAATCCGGACCTTATTGACTGCAGCTCTGAACAGTTAAACATTACTACAATTAAACCAATCCCTTGGGTTTTCGAGCCAGGACACACAGCATCTCCCAATTTTACGCTGTCCACCAATTTTTCCCTTTTCCACTTATTCAGAGATGGCAGCAAGTTCGCCACCATTGATCGTTTTGGTAAAACAACATGCTATGATGGCGAGATCAATCTGCTATTTAAACAAAACTCAGTGACTGGTCTGGTTAGCATTTTCTTCATTACTTTACAGATATTGCTGGTCAGACTCACTAACCTCTAATGTTCGGTATCGTGTTTGCTCCTCCCTTTAAACAGTGGCGTCATAATTGCATTCTTCCAGGTGTTCGGCACTACTTGACAAAGATCTCTACGAATGCCCAGCACTATAGGACGAGAAACCACAACACAATCTATTGATTACGAACCCTTTTTTAATGCAAGATGGGGACTTCTGAGACGTTACTTGTAGCCTATTACCTAATCGTATTGAACTAAATGACAATTTTATTATTCTCTAGGTTACTGATTTTGCTCTAAGCAAAGATGGTAAACAAGTTTTCACTTTTGGTAAAGACGACAGATGTGTCTTACAATGGCATATTGATCCGAAGTCAGTGGAACTCGCTGCAGTTATGGGTGGTACGGAACTAGAACCATTTTACAGTTTTCTGGATGGCGGTAGGAACGGCGCTTTCGTACTAGAAGTCGAAGAACTCTTTTACTACATGCAATCGTTGCAGCAGGAAAATTTCGATGTCCCCAGAAAAATATCCGATTGCATTAATTTGAGTGAAGTTCCCCATTTAGCCAAAGCTTGTGGATTTTTCCCCAGCAATTTCGAACTTGAAATGATGATGCTCGACATCCGTTTTAGAGATTACGATGAAGATGGTCAAACAAAAGAAGAAGTTTCGTTTGTGGAATTTATGAAACTTCTGATAAATCACATGCCTTATGACGGTTACTCTATAGAAGAAGTCGATGAACATTTTAAGGTTCTTTGTTCTATGGCTGATAATCCTAGAAGGAGCAAAATCGATCGTAACGATTTTGCTGCTTTAATACAGACCGATTGTGATGGTTTTCATAATATGCATTCCTGTTTAACAAGGCTCCTTGGAGTTCTTGAGTTTGGTCCGGGTAATTTTAACTTTTTGCCGACGAGTATCACCAAGAATTATCTACTTGATAAAATATTGGGGCTAGAATGTGAGGAAAAAGAAGAGGAGGGTGACGATGATTATGATTTCGATGATGCAGATTTCTACGTCACATCTTTACGAAGAATGATGTGAATTATTTATTTGAAATATTATACATTTTTTTTTTGTTTGTGATATTAATATATTAGTGAGTCGAGCATCACAAATTGCTGTCTGATTCTGTTGGTGATGATTGTTACCCACTCAGGCTTAATTGACGATTATTATGGTTCACGTCACAATGACTTTACATTTTTTCACAGAAGCCCTGTAATATTCATAAGCAATCTTTGTGTATTTATTTTTTTCATGTATTTCAACGTATGCCCATTTACATTTTTAACAATAATATTGTCACGACTCTGGTGTGCGTGACAGAAATCTTGGATTCGTTTATTCCAAAATCATTAATCAAAGTCCAATTAACACAATAATAATTTATTCCACGTCACTACACACCGACTAATTACTTCACTAATTAACTCAAACAACTTAACTCTTCACAACTCTTACAATAATCACTACCTATCTAAAACGTATCACAGCCAAGCCAATCTTAAACTTAACCAACTACCAACTAATACCGGCCTTTATACATGTTAGATCCCGACACACCGAATTAACTTTTTATTAGGTACTTCAAACTAACATAGATTCGACAATGATTAACAACTAAAACTTAACTAACTATTTCTAATACAATTTACTTTATTTATACTAATTTAATCAAGGAGTCAGCATAGTTCTCACGGAAAATGTTGGTTAATGCTGAATACACTGACAAGGCTTCTTGGAACGTCGTGGCGTGATGGCCTGTTGCGTAATCCAAGAGGCACGTGGCTGCTGCTTGGGCAAACGGAGTCGTATATTTGGATATAACAACTCCCCCTTTTAGTCAAAAGTTGGTGCCTTGCAGTAACTTTTTAATTTTGGAATTGGAGCTCAACTTCGTCGAATGGATCGTCAACACGGATGTTTGGCATCCTTCTGGGTAGGAAATTGCTTCTGAACTTGCGTTGTTGTGGTGCAGGCGCAGGAAGTTGGGCCTTACCGTAGTTTCTCATGGTAATCATTGGTAGTCTCCTGCGTCTACATTTAAACAGAATATAAAGAGCAACAAGTGTTATTATTAATATTATGGTCAAGATGGTGAATCAAGATAGGTGCCGGTCCATGAAAGGTACATTAACGATCTTGTTCAACTTTTCTGAGTACTGATCCAGCTTGTGTTGGGCTATGTTGATGTCATCTATGTTGATTCTGTTTAGTTTCAAAGGCCAGGGGTGCGATTTTCGAAACCATTCGAGTACATTTCGTACACGAAATTTGACTGACAGCAATGTAAATTAAATGGGGAGCAGTCAAATTTCGTGTACGAAATGTACTAGAATAGTTTCGAAAATCACACCCCTGGGTCCTTATTCTTGAAACAGAGGGGGTTCCCAGGAGAACGAGTGTTCCGTCTTTCTCAATGATATGCAAATCAGAATATTAGTGACAAAGACGGAAACCTAGTTCTCCTGGGAACGCTGCTCCCCTGTTTCAAGAATAGGGACCCTGATGTCTAGAATCGTGGACTTTTCTGGAAGATGTTCACAGCATTGGTGTGGACGATTTTTGTGAAGGCTGATTTTCCTTCGCACTTGATAGTTATTGGTAGTGGGTCGGATATTGCTATTAACCAGAGGTTTTGGTCAATTTCTTGAACGTTGTACTCTTTGGCTATGAGGAGGTTGATCTGGCACGTCTTAGGTAATACATGATTTGATGTTTTTAGTATCTGTGCTTCGCAGATGGAGTCGCTGTCGATTGAGTGTGGGAGTAGGTATGGACATATCTTCTGGTTTCTTCCCAGGGTTTTACAGTTCTCCAGGGTTTGGGGTGCTACGTAGAGCATTGAATCATCGTCTTTCGTGACAAACTTTCGAGTGGCAGCAATGATGTGGTGAAACCCTGTTCGATTATCCGGGATGTGTATTGGATAAAGGCGATAGATAGTGTAAATTTCTGGTTCAACCAGAGGGATCTTAAGAACAAATATAACCTTGGATTCTGATTGATACGCCTCTAAATCTATAATGTCCATGTATTTTGCGAGGCTAGAAGAATAGGCCGGTAATGGTAAGTTATTCTTCTGAAGGGATTGAGATACTTGTTTTAGAGAATCAATAAGATCAAGTGGTGTAATAATAGAGCTGTGGAGAATTTTTAATCGTGCAAATGTTACGGCGTTTAGGATATCATTGAGAGAATTTTCAATAAAAGCATAACTTTCCATGAGTAGTTCACACAGGTTTAGAGTGTCCACTTTTGCGTTGTGAAATGCAAGTTCGTCTGAGATGTTCATCATGGTTTCTTGGACATTTTCATTGAAGTTTTCTTCGACAATTTGAAGCTTTTGGATGGTACTATTAAAACTCTTTATCACGGACGTTGTGGCAGAAATTTGATTTTTGAGAAGAATTTCAAAATGCCTTCCTTCCCTCGAGAGTTTTTCTATACAATTGTTAAAATATTCTCCATCCGTTGCGTCTAGGTTTCCAGACGGTTTCGGCGCCATTGAGCATGCCACGCTTACTCCTATAAGCGTAACTCTTTGTGTCTGACATAATTTTTTTCTATTTAAAATCGACAGAATCGGAAGTTTGTCCAAGAAGGCTAACGTGTACTCCACTTTTAAAAGCCACTATACGATTTGAATCTTCTTTGATGCTGACAAATCTATCTAGAAGACTACTAAGAATGTTGTCGTTTTTCGTAATGGCATTTCTGATGAGAAGAAGTTCCTTATAAACTAGCACCGTCCATTTGGAGTTAGAAACCTTAATGGATCCTTCCTCATGGAGGAAAATTCCGACAGTATCATTTATGGGAGTTATGGAGAACTGGGACAAGATGGCTGTAAGCAGCCCGTAGAATCTGCAACAAGAGTTTTTATTCAGAATACGGTTTTAGCCTGTCAAAATTTATTTTTTAAATTTGATTTGTTTGGGGATTGAGAAGTTTTCCTGAATTTTGAGAAATTTCGATTATTTCGAATGGGCCATTGAAAAAAATTTCGGCTTTAGTTTTTATTTGAGAATCTTTAACATATACTTTGTCTCCTACGTTATATTCATAAGGATTTTTTTTTTGATCAAATCTAACTTTAGATTTCTCCTTTTGAGTTTGGGTCCGATTTTGAGCTAATTTGAAGTAATATTCCATGCGGTTGTTTAGATCTCTCAAATAATTTGTTATAAGTTCTTTTTGGTTGTAAAGCGTTTCGGGCGGTCTAGACGAGGTATGCCCAAAAATAAGCTCAAATGGGGTGAAACCGTGGGTTTTGTTTTTTATGTTGTTGTAACATATTACGGCGTAGGGTAGGACGTTAAAGGGATGTTCGTTCGGACTATCTGTATGGTTTAGTCTGATGATTTCTGCAAGTGTGGCATGGAATCGTTCTATAAAGCCATTTGATTGGGGATGTTCCACACTAGAAAATGTCAATTTTATTTCAAACAACCGGCAAAGGTCTTTTATTAGGGCGTTTTCAAATTCACGTCCATGGTCACAATGGATCCCCACGGGGGTTCTATAGTGTTGGAAAAACAGTAAGATTGTATTAACTACAGTTTTTGCTGATTTGTCACTAATTGGAAGGGCTTGAGTGAATTTTGTTAGTTCGTCTCTTATTGTAAGTGCAAAGATTTTCGTTGGGTATTCGAAAATGTCTATGTTTATTCTTTCAAAGGGAGTTTTCGGTGTTTCGGTTATCACCAGAGGTCTGTTAAGGTTTCTTTGGCATATATTGACTTTTTGGCATGCTTCACAGCGTTTTATGAGAGATTAGGCCATGTCTATTTTGATCTTATGCGTCTGACTGTTTCATTAATGCCTCTATGCAAGTTTGTTCTTCGTTAGAGGCAAGAATTCTGGAATTCAACTTGATCCATTCTTGATGTATTGGTTTAATTTAATTCTGGATAGGGCATCGGCATTTTTGTTGATTTTCCCTGGCTTGTGTTCTATTTGGTAATTAAATTCTTTGAGTTTCAATCACCATCTTGCTAATCTACTTCCTGGGTCTTTAATAGAAAAGAGCCAAGTTAGAGGTCTATGGTCAGTGATCGGGGTAAACTTCCTTCCAAACAGGTAGGGTCGGAAATGTTTGACAGCCCAGACAATGGCGATTAATTTCCGCTCGATGGTGAAATATTTTGTCTCCGCATTACAGAGGGTTCTGGATGCGAACGCTATAGGGTCCGTCCATAAACTACAGTAGCGCCCTCTTTCGACAGCAATGTAAGTTCTTGTATTATGGCAAGTGCTTGATTCCATTTACACAAATGTATTTTTTTTTAATTAAAAACGATTTCAAAGCGAAATATTTTTCATTATAAAGGTATGGTTGTTTACACGGAACAATTGTATTTAATTTCACTTTTTTTCTTGTAATTATTATTTGCCAAACACTTTTTATTATCATTTATTCAGGCTATTGTGCATACCCACTACTTGTCATGCCTTTACCCAGGAACAGTTTCACAAATTGTTGTGTTGTTAACTGTGGCAATAATTATGCCAACACAAGTGGAAATGTTCACTTCTACAGTTTTCCTAGTCGGTCCCATGATCAGGAAAGACACAGGAACTATACACTGAGTTTTCGTATTGATTTATGGTCTTTTTTTTTTCATAAAATAGATTTTGACATTGTCAACTTTGAAATATAAAGAATATCTCTTGGCTCTGATTGGTCGCATAATGAGGTGTCCCCGCAGGTTGACATCATGGAGATTTCCATTTGCCAGTCAGTGCGCAGTGAGTGTCTCCGCATCTTTTTCTAAAAGCATATAACATGTAAGGATAAGGATACATTTTTTTTGCACTGGTTCGACAAATGGAAATTGCTATCAGTGCAAATGGCATGTTGCGACCAATAAGCGGCATTGTTTATGTTTCAAAGTTGAGGATGTCAAAATCTATCTTGGGGAAAAAAAAAAAGCCTGTAGTTACTTTACTCTTAATCGTTCTAAGATCCAATTCAAAAAGTACTAAAATGTGGGAGCCAGAAAGACAGTCGAGGATTTGTAGAGGCCATTTTATTGTTATATCTACCTGTAGCTCAACAGCATAAGGAGAGCTGTTTATGGAGGTTTGGCGCATAACATGCCCTT